GCGATGCCTTTTGGCTCTTGCTTTTACAGCCAGCACCTGAGAGGAGAGGTATTTTTCTTTCTTCCACCCCAATAGGATGAGTGTTTGTGCCCTGAGCTCCAGGCTCTTGCTCCGGAGTCCTTGGCATCTTCTTTGTGTGTCTAGGGTTTTCTTTCCTGAAATGGACCCCGCTCAGATTTGTGGTCAAAGGTGGCAGCTCCCAAGACCTCAGGCTTGGAAGCTGTATTCATTTTCTAGGGCTGCTATAAGAAAGTACCACGAGCTGAGAGGCTCAAAACAACAGAAATGTATTGTCTCCAGGTCTGGAGGCTGGAAGTCTGAGATCAAGGTATTAGGGCCATGTTCCCTCTGGGGGCTCCCTTAAGATCTGTTCCATGCCTCTCTCCTGGCTTCCGGGGCTTGCCCACAGTCTGTGGCATCCCTTGGCTTATAGACAAATCACTCTAGTGTCTGCCTCCATTATCACCTGGGTGTTCTCTCTATATGTCTGCGTCTGTGTCAAAATTTCCCTCTTTTTATAAGGACACTGGGCATTGGATTAGGGTCAGCCCTACTCCACTGTGACCACATCTTAACTTGATTACATCTGCAAAGACCCTATTTCTAAGTAAGGTCACATTCTGAGGTTGTGGGTGGACACGAATTTAGGGGAAGGGGGGATGTTATTCAATCCAGTACAGACAGCAAGCATCTCTTTGGTGATCCTGAAAGGAAACAACCCTCCTCGCATATTTTGGATTACAAAAACTCCAGGATTCGGGCGAGACCCTCTGGATGGGCAGTATCAGGTGTCTGGTCATCCTATTAGCAGGGAGCTAGGAGTTGTAGCTCCTCTGATTAGACAAATAAAACATGAGGTGCCAGTGAGGACCAGACAGTGCCCACCACTCATGTCTCTGCTCCAAACTGTGGGCACAAGTGCTGGGCTATGAGCTGCCAGCAGGCCAGCCTTCCTCTCTGGTCTGTACTTTCCTAATCTGTCAAATGGGCACAGTGAATTCAATTGCACTTGTATGAATTTTGAGACCAAGCAAAATTTATGGTGGAAAAATTAGAATAGTGGTGGGGGTTGGGCAGGAGGGAGCCTGTTGGGTGATGGAAATGTTCTATAACTTGATCTGGATGGTAGTCACACAGGTGTTATGTAAGTACATGTAAACATTCATTTAATGGCACGTAATGTGTGCTGTCCGTACTTTAGTGTGTGAATTTTATACCTTACTAAAAAGGTGGAAAGGAAGGAAAAAGGAAGGAAGGAAGGGAGGGACGAGAGAGAAGGGAAGGGAGGGAAAAAAGATGAACACAGTGATCCTTAGCCAGGCCTGGCTTCCAAGCCTTTCTGAAAATGGTGGGTGGAGGGGCACTGAGATCCAGCCTTGGCAGCAAAAATAGAATGGAGGGGCTGGTGTCGGGCATGGCCCTCTTTCTTTGTCCTCTCATCCCAGGCCTCCCCCCTGGGAGAGAGAAGGTGAGACTTCAGAGTCACACCTACTGGCTGTGTGACTTTGGGCATGTTGCTTGCCTTCTCTGGGCCTCAGGTGCCTCATCTGGAAAATAGGGACAATACTTTCAAAGAACTGTAGTAAGGGCTGAACTGTCCTGGCCCAGGCCCCAGCATGGAGAGGGAGTTGTGTCTGAGCGCCAGCTACCCTGTCCTGACAGTGGCTACAGGAAGGTGAGAAGTAGTGCTGGATTCCAGGGTTCAAGTCCTAATTTTTCCCACTCACCACCTGTGTGATGGTGGCTCAGTCACTCATCTTGGTCTCCCCCTTGGGAAAACGCCTTCCCTCCCAAGGTTGTCATTTCATTCACTGGTTCAACCTGGCGCAGTTTCCTACACTTTTTTGTGGCTCAATCTGCTCATCTCTAAAATGGGATGAGACAATCCCTATGGCATAGGGTTGCTGTGATGATGCAAGGAATCTGCATTTAGAACAGCGACTGGCCCAAAGCAAGGACTCCAGAAACCTTAGCTGGTGTCACTCTCTGTGCCTGCCCATTGATGGAACTCCTGCTGTGTGGTGGGCACCGGGCTGGACATCCAGAGTCCCAGTGGGGCTGGCAGTCCAGCAGGTGGATGACAAGGTTGCCTCGAAGCACCCAGCCTTCTGAGGCTGCTGCCTCCCAGGCTGAGCGTTTCAGCTGTACCCAGGCCAGATGCACGGTTCTGCCAAGCGAGGCGCTTAGAGAGGCTGTCACCCTGCGGCACAAAGGCAGCTCCTCACGTCATGGGCGGGGCCAGGAAAGAGCTCCAACCACCTGGCTCTGCAACTGCTCCCGGGGCAGCCTGGCCCCAAGCCTGCGCTCCCTGCCTCTCTGAGCCGGAAAGGATGGGGCAGCCGCAAAGGCAGGGGCAGGAGGCACGTCCGAGATTCGGGCAGAGAAGGGGCAAGGGTGGAAGCGCAGGGCCTGGAGGCCAGGGAAGAAGGGAGCCCATGAACAGTGAGAAGAGGAGGGGAGGGAAGGAGATTAAGGGGAATCCCTGACCCTCACTGAGCACCCAGTGGACCAGGCTTTGGTCTCAGTTACTCCTCATAACAACCTCAAGAGTGATGCCCATTAGTCAGCACCCCATTTAACAGTTCAGGAAACCAAAGCACAGAGAGATTAAGTAAGTTGCTCAAGGTCACACAGCCAGTATGTGGCAGAGCTGGGATCTGAACCTAAGGCAGCCAGAGTCCATGCTCTTCATCACCATGAAGATGAAGAGGAGGGAAGTTGGGAGGGAGGGGGAGGAGAAGAACGACTGGACAAAAGAAAGGCAGAAAGAAGGAGAGGGAAGAGAAAATGAGAAAAGGAAGGAAAGAGAAAGATGCAAAGAGAGACAAGGCGGAAGAAGAATAAAGTGGAAAGAGGTGAGAAGGAGGGAGAAGGAAACATTCAGGAGAGCAGGAGGCCCCTCCTTGGGGGCCTGGGAGAGGGAGGCTGCCCTCTGCCCCGCCCCTCTTCCCCCCTCCCCGGCTCCTCTTCCCCCTGCCCTCCCCCCTCCCCCAACCCCCACCCCGACACCCCCCACTGCCTGGCATGGAGCTGCTTCCTGAATTGCACACCAGGCTCTTGGGACGGCCCTGACCACCACACCAGAAGACATTAGCTTCTTGGAAACAAACCAGAGAAGGGAGGTTGAGGGCAGAAGAACCAGAGGGCCTGCCAGGTGAGAAGCCCCCTGTGTGCCTGGCCTGAAGGGCTTGTTTCTACCCCCACAGCCACCCTCAGGGGGCCTTGTCCCCTGTCCAAAGGTGGAAAAGCCCAAGTCAGAAGGTGAAGTATGTCCCCCAGCGCACAGGGCTGGTAAAGCCCCGATGCAGGGCTGGAGCCCACAGTCCACCCCAGAGGCTGCTGCCTTCTGAGCCTCCACACTCTCCAGCCTCCATTCTCAGCCCAGTATCAGCTTCAGCAGCAGGACCAGCCCCGCGGGAGAAGCCGGCTTGTACACAATCAAATGGGTATGTTCACCCTCTTCCTCTTAAACTGACCTACTTGGCAGCCCCAGGCCCACCAGCCTCTCTGAAGGGCAGCCGACAGAGGGCACAGATAGAGAGGAGGAGAAGCCAGCCCAGGCCACTTGCATTCAGCCTGGACCAAGCCGACAGCCCACTGCAGTCAGCACGGGCTGCGTCATCCGCTTAAGCGAACATCAGCTCATTCCACTGGGAACTCTGGAGTCTGAGGGCCTAAGGTGCAGTTTTGGATGGCCTGGGATCCCTTTGAACATGCACCCCAATTTAATTCTGTGTGTAGCTGACCTTTTCTGGCCTTTGGTTTTCATCAGACTCTCAAAAGGGGTTAAATCTCCCAAAAGGTTAAGAGTCACTCAGAGACATTTGCCCGAACAACCTGTGAATTATTGCAGGTGAATTTAGAAAACCATAGTGGAAAAGGAGGCCTGAATCTTGGAGCTCTGAGGACAGGGGCCTGGCCTATAGTAATCCTTATCTCCAGTGCTTGGTTCACAGTAGGTGTTCAATAAGTATGAATGAATGAGTGAACAATTTATAGAAAGCTACCAGGGCAACAGAAGGAGCCAAGAAGGGGTGTGGAGAAGCCCTCATTATTTGATGCTGCATTACAAAACTCAGTAGCCCATAACAAGAACAGTAATTTAATAGGTTTCATGATTTCTCTGGGTCAGGAGTTTGGGACAAATATGGCTGGCTGGTGCTGGGGCTGCACTCATCTGAAGGCTTGACTGGGACTGGAAAATCCACTTCCAAAGTGGCTCATTCATATGACTGGCAAGATGGTGACAACTGAAGGTGGGACTTCAGTTCCTTTGCATGTGGGCCTTTCCACAGGCTGCTTGAGTGACTTCACAGCATGGCTGCTGGCTTCCCCAGAGTGGCCAAGCCCAGAGACCAAGGCAGAAGCTGCAGCACATCTCATGACCTAGCCTTAGAAGTCACATTCCACCATTTCCACAGAATTCCTGTGTACTGGTTACACAGGTCAGCTTTTTTATAATTCAGAGTTGATGTGAATCTCAGGAGAAGAGGACCTTGGGGGCCACCTTAGGGGCTGGAGGCCACAGGGTAGTCAGGGAGGTGAGAGGAAAATCTGGAGAATTCATGGCCATGGAGAGCAGAGGTCTCCTGCAGAAAGTAGCCCTGCCCTGAACAGAGTTGTGGTTGTGTTTCAAGTCCAGAGCTTGACCACATTTCCCAGGCCAATCTTCCACTCTCCACCTCACTTCTGGCCATACCTTCCCCGCACTATGTCATCAGTCCAGACTTGCTGGGTTTTGATCAATTCTGTAAAAGCAACACAAATTCTCCTACCTCCAAGCCCTTAAATGCACCCTACATGCATCAGTCACCTCGCCCAGTCCCCTGTACATCATCCATGGCCGCATAGACCCCCGTGTACCATGTCTGCCTCCTTCACCCAAGTGCCCTGGGTTGGAGGGCTGACCCACAGATGCCCAACGCTGTACACTGAATGCATGAATAATGGGTGGGTAACACCCTACACACAACAGGCACAGAGAGGAACTGAGGCATAGCTGATTACCTCCCTGGGTCTGTGTCCCCACTGGTCAAATGTCAGGGAGGCCCCTTCCAACCCTAAGATTCTGCTATTATATCCTCCTGGAAGCACCCAAGGACAACACCTTGCAATGAGAATTGAGAAGTCAGGGCAGAATTCAAATTCCAGAGCCTCCACTTACTTCATCTGCAAGGTCGGGCAAGTCATTGACCTCTCCACACCTCAGATTCCCCAGCTGTAAAAGGTACTAATGTTCCTATTAAATAGGGACAACTATATGTGAATTGTCAGATTGCTCCAGTTCTGAAACTGCACTCATCCAGGTAAATGCTCCGCCCAGAGCCTGGCGCATGGAGGACACCAGTGACAGCCATGGCAGGAGTGCCCAGTCCCCCTTCAAGAGAGAACTTGTCCTTCAGGTGCCAGGAGAGTGGTGAGCCTCCAGCCTCCAACTGCACCTTCAGGAACCACCTCAACTTTTGAGCCGAGGCCAAGCTCTTCCAGGGCCAACCCAGCCAATGTCCGAACCAGAAGGGGAAGCATGGCCGGGTCACTTCTGCCCAGCGTGGGGCTCCCCTGATGGGCGCGCTCTTCTCTAGAGCTCCCCATTGGGTTGGCAGTGCCAGACCTGCTTTGTGGTCTCCAGCTCTCCCTCCAGTTCTGCTCTGCCCGCCTTTGTCTTGCCCAGGCATCAGGCCCCCATAAACCTCTTACTCTCCTGGCTCCATCTCAGCGTCTGCACCTGGGGGGCCCAAACTGACAGGGCACTCACCAGAGCAGTGGTTCCCAGGACTGGCAGCAACAGCATCACCAGGGAACTTGTAAGACATGCCCATCCTCAGGGCCCGCCACTCCCCGGACCTGGGGGTGGGGCCAAACAGTCTCACTCCACTATGAGACCTGCCGTCAGAGAGAGCTATTGTTCAGACATCATAGTGGCAGTGCGGTAGGGGCTGCGGGTGAGGGGGCGGTCTGTGGGAAGAGGAGAATGTTTTATCACCAGCTCAGCAATTCCCCACCTGCCAAGTTCCAAAAATCCAAGGGCTGAACCAACTAGCCCCTGTCCCCACCCCGTCTGGCGAAGGGTCCAGTCCAACCTCCAGTTAGAGACTTCGCAGGTCCCTGGGTTTGTGAGGCTGCACACAGCACTGCCTTATTTCCTCCTGCTCCTTGCTCCTCCTTCTCCCTTGCCTCCCCAGGGGCACCCCAGCCCCGCCCGCCTGCCTCCTCTTTGTCTGCCAATCTGTCTCCATCCCAAGATGAGCCCCAGGCCTCCGCCAGCCAGTCTGCACTCCACCTGCAAGACCCAGAGAGAGGCCTCTATGCTCCCAACTGCTACTTACTTACTGTGGGGAAAGGTCCAGGGGAATGGTTCATACTCCCGGCCTCCCTGTCAGCCCAGGTTAACAATCGCCCCCCTCCACCACCACCCCATCATTGGGAGCATCCTCTCCCATCTAAGGTGCTCAAAGTCTCTTCATGTGACAAGTGAGGAAATGGGGGACAGACAGGCACAGAGGCTTGCACGAGGTCACAAAGCAAGAAACAGGAGCAGCCAGGATTTAGACCTTCCCACCTCAGCCTCCCACTCCCAGCCTCCAGCAGGTAGCAGGTGACAATTTTGAGATGGTCACATGTGGCAGGGATATTGTTGGCCCTGAAAGATTCAAGGCCTTCGTAGGCTCACAAAGCAGCCACAGCCTGTCCCTGGGGCATGCTGGTGCCGCCTTCTTCTTTCTCCATTAGGCATGATCCTCACTGATGCCACCACCCAGGAGATAAGGCTCAGAGACAGGCAGACGCTGGCCAGAGGTCACACAGTTGCTTTTGCTTTTCTAAACTACAAGTAGGGTGATATTTTATGGGTGTCCAGTTCATCCTCTGTCCAGCCCCATCTCAGAGAACCCTGGACTGTCCAGGCCAGACTAACAGTGGCAGTAACGACAGGCACATTTACTGAGCACTCAGTGTGTGGCAGGCATGGCTGACATGTGCTCCGAGACACTGTTGCAGGAAAATGGAGTGGGAGAGGATGGCCATGTCCCAGGTCTCAGGCAAGTCCCTGGGATGCACCCCAGCAAGTGAGGGTTCTTGGCTTTGCACAGGAAAAGAATTCAAGAGTGAGCCACAATAGAGTGAAAGTAGATTTATCCAGGGAGATAGATACACACTCCACAGACTGAGTGCAGGCAGTCTCTGAAGGCAACAGAGAGAGCGTCCGCAAGGTGCAGGGTTGTTAGTTTTTATGGGCTCGGTACCTTCCTATGCTAACGAGTGGGGGGATTATTCCAACTATTTGGGGGAAGGGGCAGGGATTCCCACGAATTGGGCCCTGCCCATTTTTGGACCTTTTATGGTCAGCCTAGAGACTGCCATGCCGCCTGTGGGGGCGCAGTGGGGCTCAAGATCTACTGGAAGCGAATCTTCCGCCATCTTGGTTCTAACCTGTTAACCTATCCTCAGTTGCTGTGTCATTCTTTTAATGGCTGTGCCCTGCCCCCTTCCATCCTGTCTCAACTGTCTGATGTCATCCTCTTCAGGAGCCTGTGACAGACATGCAGTTAGCAGCCCCAGTCCACACATACGGTCACTAGCCTCAGAGGGGCCAATACTTCAGCTCTAACTGCCCTAAAACAACCCCTTCATTTTATAGATGGGGGATTTGAGGCCCAGAGAGGGGATTTCTTCAAGGACATGCAACTAGTTAGTGTCAGGACCAGCCTTTCCCAGGCAGTTTACCCAGTAAGAGTAATCCTAGTCTACTCTTACAGCACTTGACAGTTTGCTAACCTCTCATCTCCTCTCAGGAAGAAGGCAAGGGTTTCTTCTGTTTAATGGTTAACATTTGGGGATTTTTATACGATGTGCCAATGTAATTCTAAAAACTTTATATTCAGTCATTTAATGCTCACAAATACCCTACAAAGTGAGTACATTTATTATCCTGGTTTTGCAAATGAGACTGAGGCCAGAGTTTAAATCATCTGCCCAAGGTCACACAGCCAGGATTAGAAGTCAGGCAGCTGAGGTTTTAACCACTATGATGTCTTTACTGGGGAAAAATCTGAGGCTCTGCGAAAGGACAGGACTTGCCTGAGGCCACAGAGCTAGAGAGCGTGGGGTTGGGCTGGATGGCAGCTCGGACCTCCTGCCTCCAAGCCCAGGGCTGGTTCTTCTCCCTGGCAGTGCTTTTTCTCACTCAGTGTTTGTTGGTTAAGAGACACTCACTGGGAACCTTCTTTGCCAGAAAAACCACCACAACTTCCCTGCCCAAAAGGTGAGGCAGACAGGAAACAGACACCCACAACTTGAAGCATGAACGGGTTCCTGCAGGTTCCAGGGGCTGCGGGAGGAGTAACTGGTAGGACATTGACCCACCCTGGGAATAAAGGGAGGCTTCCAGAATTCTGGTCCTTGAGTCAAGTGGGAACTTTTCCAGAAGGACAGGGTGGCATAAGACATCCCAAACTGAGGAAAGAACGCATGCAAAGGCCAGCAGTGTGAGACAGTGTAAACTGCTGTGGAGAGTTCTGTTCAGCCCTGAGCAACGGTGAAGACTGAAAAGGTTGAACAGGGAGGATCATGGAAGGCCCCTGAGGGAGTCAGGATCCTGAAGCCCTGACCCAAATCTGCGCATATCTCACAGCATAACCTCAGTATTTCCATCCATAAAATGGGAGTAGGGGTAGAGAGTTGGTGTCTAAAGGCCCTGTCAGCTCCAACTTTTGGCTGGTGGAGTCAGGATGGATTTGAACAAGAGGATAGTTTTAGTGTAAAGGCAGGAGGCAAGGGAAAGAAGGTCATGTTGGGAAGGGAAAAAAAGGTCCAGAGGAAAGAGAATGCAGAGTAGGTGTTGAAAGGAAAGTATATGGTTTCTATACAGGGTCTCTGGGATGGTGTAGACAGAGGAGAGCATGTGAAAAGTTTGTATCAGTCCGGACTCTTCAGTTACAAGTCAAAGAAAGAAAAAAAATTACTGAAATTTATTAAAATTTCATAGAAATTTTTATAGAAAATTTTACAAAAATTTATAGAAATTTATAAAACGAGAAGTCCAGAGCACTGGCTTTAGGCATGGCTGGATCAAGGTGCTGACATGTTATTGTGAGGATCCTGTTTCTCCCTCCCATCTTGGCTTTGATTTCTTCATTGTTTTCACTCTGAGGGAGGTTCTAACCTCATGGAGGCAAAGGTGACCACCCATAGCTCCAGAATCCATCACATAAACTATTCTCCTCATGGAAAAAAGAGATTCTCAAACCCACCCAGGGCATTATCCTGGACCCTTTTCTTTCTCTCACATCTAACATTAGATCTATCCTCAAATCTTGTTGGATTTGCCTATAAAAGAGAGACAGAATTTCCCTACATCTCCCCACCTCCAATGATAACAGCCTGGTCCAAGTCACCCTCATTCTTTACTCTACTTTCTAAATTGATGTATTACATTTCATGTAGAGAGAACACAACTGGAGATGTACATCCAGCTCAATGAATCTTCACACAGTGAGCACATGATGTAATGTCCACCCAGATCAAGACATAGAACACTGACAGCATCCCCAGAAGCCTCCCTCCTACCCCCTCCTAGTTAATACCCCTTAACAGTGTGTCCTCTTATGTGTCTGAGTCACCATCATCTCTCGCCTGATTTAGTGCATCAGTTCCTGGCTTTCTCAAGCTTTCACTCTTGCCCCTTTCAGTTAATTCGGTCAATTCAGAGACCCTATAAAATGTAAATCAAAAGATGTTCCTCCTCTGTCAAACCCTCCCATAGCTCCCATCTCATTTGGTATAAAAGCCAAAGTTCTTATCGTGGCCTGGATGGTCCTAAACATGGGGCACCTCATCCACTCTCCTACCCCCTACCTCCTCTAGCATCCCCTGCTCCAGACATACTGGCTTCTTTCTGTTCCTCACTGAGGCACACTCTCAGGTACTCATGCACAGACCATTGTACATGGCTGTTCCTACTACCTGGAATCCTATTCTTCCCCACCATCCCTATAGCCCCATGGTTCACTCCATCACCTCCTTTGAGTCTGTGTTCAAAGGTTCCCTTCTGATGTCTGCTCTCACCCAAGATGAAGTAATAGGAACTGAATTTACTCTCCCACTTGAAACAACTACAAAAAACAAAACAAACAAACACCCAGGAAAAATACATGAAATGACAGTTTTCAAGACACTGGGCATCAGGCAATGAAGAGGAGTGATCCCTGAGCGATGAGAAGTAAGCAGTGTGAGCCCTCTCACTGCCCAGGTTTACTGCCTGGGAGGCATTTCCAGACCCTAGTACAGGGAGCGGGTGAAGCCCAGAAGACTCTGAGTTAACAAAATGCAGCTGAAGAATCTGGGAAGACCAAGGAGAGCAGAACTTGAGGGACAGAGTATCAGAGAGGAGAGAGCTAAGCAGAGAGAATTCCAGAGATCTGCAGAAAGTACCCCTAGAGTATTAGGCTGAGCACTGGTTGGCGGTTTTGTGTGATAGAACTTCTCTGGGACTGGTAAAAACATGGGTAAATATGAGAGCAGTGCCTAGCAGTCACACTGGACCAAATATAGTGCCAAATGGGAAAAAAAAAATTATAAGTCATGGGTCAATAGTTAGAGTATTTAGGAAAGTATACTCCTCAGTATTGGTAAAGAATTAGCCCTAAACAGAGCACTGCTCTGCCACATTCAACAAATCATAAAAGCGAGATTTGAAAGGATCAAAGTGTTTCCATAACCTAACTGAATCTCAGAGCAAAAGTCAAAGAGACTTAATAGAAATACAAAAACATACAGCATCCAACAAAAGCAAAATTCACAACATCTGGCATCCAAAGATTGCAGGCATGCAAAGAAGCAAGAAAGCATGGCTCATAATGAGGAGAATAATGAATCAGTTGAAACCC